TGGTCTGCAGACCAGGGGGACGGGGGTGGGGCAAAGCAGAGCCAAGCCTCGGAGCGCGTGGGCAGCGGACAGCCCTGTCCACTGCCCACGTGTTCCGCCGCTTTGCTTCCTCTCCCTGGAGGTACCCCGTTCGTAACTGCGGATCCGACATAAGTCGGATCCGCGTAACTCTGGGACTGCCTGTATTGAAATGTAAGTTACAGGATCCAGATATCTGGAAATATTATTATTTGTGTAAGTGGTCTTCTTTCTTTAATAGGAAAGTAAATTAAAAATTCTGTGCTCAAATTGGCACATATTACTTCCATTATAGTTTTACTTATATTCATCCAAGTCTATTGAGGGCTGAGTTTGGTTAGTGCTATACAAATATGTAAAATTCCAGTCTAATCCAGACAGCTAAAAGTCAGTTGCCTCCGTGCATGAGGCACGCTGTTTAAAATAGCATCAAAATGCTAAATTCTCCTTTCCATATTCACACAAACAGGACTGTTTAGTTAGTAGACTGCTTGCTTGAATAAGGTCCAAAAAAACTGTCAACTTTATACTATCAGAGCTTTCAGACATTATGCTTCCAAATTAATGTTTAATTTGCCTGTTGTGAGAATAGACTTTTACTGTCTAGTAATGTCTTTTTAAAGCCTGCCAAAACAGTATCTCTCTTATCTCAGGAGTCTTTATTCTGAAAGCGTTAAAGAGATGCTGACAACATTTGGCACTGCAACATACAAAGTGGGACTTAAGGTGCATCCCAATGAAGAAGATCCACGTGTACCCATAATGTGCTGGGGTAGCTGTGCTTACACAATACAGACTATAGGTAACAGTTTATTTTTAGTAACAATTACTGTGTGTCAGAAAGGGGTTGCTGGATTTCTAAATTTAGAGCACTGAAACTTTATTTTGTTTTTTACCTTCTGCAGAACGGATTTTAGCTGATGAAGATAAACCATTATTTGAACATTTACCTTGCCGACAGGTAAGATAAAATATCAGCTTCAGTTCTGAATCACTGGCCTGAGCATGGATTTCTCTTTAATTCAGAGTGCCAAAATTATAGCCTGAAATGATTGGAAAGCTTCTTTTTAACTTGGGTTCTACCCTTTTCTGCATCAATATCTGATATTTTACATTTGTTTCAAGTTAAAATTAAACAGTTTTGTTCTTCATGAATACTAAATATAATAGAATTGGGTTTGTCTGGTCATAATGATAGCTAAAGTAAAGAGCTTTGAAATTGTAGCTATGTTCTGTAAATCTGTTTGTGCACATGCATACATACACACACTGATATCTTTATTACATTGAATTCTTGGCATAATCTCTATCACTCAAAATATGAGGTAAATACTATAGCTAAGTAACTAGAGTGAAGTACTACATAGGGTTATAAAGGCATCATTTTATTACATGTTAAAGAATTTGTAATTGTGACATTTAGATTGGATTTTTTTTTTTAAGGATGACTGCCTTACTTCATTAACAAGGTTTGCAGCAGCACACTGGACAGTTTCATCTCTTTCAGCAGTACAGGGTCACTTTTGTAGACTCTTCACATGTAAGTTCACTCCACTGTGCTCATTTTTTTGCGTAATAAATACAGATACTGATTAGGGATGTCAGTGAGTAGTTGACTAGATGATTAACCCATAAGTTTAGGCTTACAAATTAATCTAGCCGACTTACCCCTCCCCCCCATTACTGCCTCCGTATCCGTGGTCAGAGGCTGCTCTGTGACAGCATCCCTTGTCTTCCCCCTCCCCTGCAGCCTCTGTCTTCAGGGGCCCCCTGCCCCTCTGTGCTGCTGCCTCTGATACTGAGGCAGTAGTGCAGAGTGGCAGGGAGCTCCCCAGGAGTGGGGTTGCAGCACATTGGGTGCTGGTCATGCGCTCTGGGAATATATAATAGTCAACTAACGGCTAAGAATTCATACGGTTAGTTGACTATTCTGTTACCTGCTATTTAACATCCCTAACACTGATAGACCTGGCAAATTAACTTACAGTGAACAGTTACGATTATCTGAGAAATTATAGAAGATAAAACTGAAGAAACATTAAGGCTGCGTCTAGACTGGCATGATTTTGCGGAAATACTTTTAACGGAAAAGTTTTTCCGTTAAAAGTATTTCCGCAAAAGAGCATCTAGATTGGCAAGTGCCTTTGTGCAAAAGATTTGCTTTTGCGCAAAAGCATCCGTGGCCAGTCTAGACGCAATTTTGTGCAAGAAAGCCCCGATTGCCATTTTAGCCATCGGGGCTTTTTTGCGCAAAACAGTTCTTCCATGTCTACACTGGCCCTCTTGCGCAAGTATTCTTGCACAAGAGGGCTTTTTCCTGAGCGGGAGCGTGAAAGTATTTGCACAAGAAGCACTTATTTTGTACATTACAAAGTCAGTGCTCTTGCTCAAATTCAAGCGGCCAGTGTAGACATCTGGCAAGGTTTTGCAGAAAAGTGGCTGCTTTTGCGCAAAATCTTGCCAGTCTAGACGCACCCTAAAAGTTGTATCCTTTGTATCTAAAGTTTGCAAACTGGAAGAGAACCTGCTCAAAGTTCTTGAATTAATTTATTCCTTGCCAAAAACTGAAAGATCTTATCAGTAGATTCTTACAACATTTAAAACACACAGTTAAGATAATGATAGTCTCTTCTGTATCAAAAATCAATGCCATTGGTTGTTGTGTAATTAAAACTTTGTTTTTTGTTTTTTATATATTCAGCACTGGTGCCTAATGAAAAAAATGGAACTCTTCCATGCATACTTGATATTGACATGTTTCATTTATTGGTAAGTTTTACATATTGAACACAGCTAAATCTTAGATCCTGTAGAATACATCTACACTACAAATAGAGGACCATGGGCAATGAGTCTCAAAACCTGTGTCAACTGACACAATGTGAACCTCATGATCTATGGAGCTAAAAATTGCAGCATGGATATCTTGCTCAGGCTGGAGCCCAGCTCTGAAATCAACTCAGCGTTTCAGAGCCGAGTCTCCAGCCCATGCAGGAACTGCTACTTTTAGCCCTGTACTGTAAGCCCTAATCAGTTTACCCAGGTTCTCAGTCTCACTGCAGGGCTTTCTGCAGTGTAGGTTTACCCTTAGGCATCTTTTTTTTATGTCAAAGCTGCAATTACATATTTTCTGCATAGCCACATGAATTTTTAGGGAAAAGTACAGCTGGCTAGTATTCCTTTTTGCAGCTGTTTAGATTTTTAATATTTTTTGCTATATTATAGTTTTATTCTCCAACTTGGGAAAAAGAGCAGTGAACACCAGCTTATTTGATAGCTACCCCTATGTCACATGAAGGAATGGGATAACTGGCATAAAAATGAGTTTCCTCGATTGTCCTTCAGCACAAAAGGTGGTGGCAAGAAAAAGCTTGACAGATTCTTGAGGCTGCATGGCAGAAGACAGCATAGCTATATTTTCAGGTGTAGTCAAGACATTCATTCTCTTACACTTCTCTATTACAGGTAAGCTTGGTGCTTTCTTTTCCTGCTGTATACTGTCAGGATTTTTCAGGGGTTAGTCTTGGCACTGGAGATCTTCACATCTTCCATCTTGTCACAATGGCGCACATAGTACAAATTTTACTTACCTCATCAACAGGTAATGCCTCCTTTTTTGTTTCATTATCCATTTTTTAAAATGGACATTAAGGCTGTGTCTACACTTGAAAGTACAGCTATACTGCTATGTTGTACCAGCACACTATCCTCAGTAGGGATGCAAATTATATCAGCAAAAGCATGCTCTGTCAGTTATAACCCACATCCTCACCAGCATAGCTTGTACTGGCAAAAGTTGTACTGGCAAAAGTTTATGGTATAGGCCAGGTTTAAACTTTTGCTTCACAAAGAAAATAAACTGTTTCCTAAAGAAAGGAATTAATGCATTCTACTTGTAGTATTCATGTAACAAGAATGATTGGGTATGATGTATTGTGCGCAAAACATCTATCTGACATTGGCCACCAGATCTGATCCCTAGGTAGAGAGAGGGAGACAAAACAGTCTTTTCCTTGTTTCTTAATGGGACATTTCTTGTTTGGCAAGAAGGCCAAGAACAAAATTTATATAATTATTTTAGATGTTGTATACTGATGATAATATAGCCCAGGTCTTCAATTATTGTTTTATAAACTCCAGTGGTATTCAGAGTTTCACTTCCTCTCAGCTATTTTTAAAAAAGATTTTTCCATTTAAAAATAATTAAATGATTTTTACATTTAGAATTGTACTTGATATATTTTTTCTTTCTTCAGAAGAAAATGGCATGGACCAAGAAAACCCTAATGGTGAAGAAGAAGTTGCAGTGCTTACTTTGTATAAATTTCTTTGCCAACATACAGGAAGGTAAAATGATAGTCTCTATCTTACACAATCATTGTTTCCTTCTTAATCCCACCACCAATCTGTAACACCATAAAGGGTGAATTTTATATACTGATGCTATTAAGAGAATCATATTTTAAATTCAAAAGTTTTTGCTCCTTGTGTGCTACACACTAATCCTGGCTCATGATTGACTGAAAAAAGTCACATGACAAATCAACAAATTTCTGTAATTTACCTCCTCAGAGTTCAGTGATATTGTACTGCAGGATAATTTTGATCAGCAATTTGTCATATGTAAGTAAATCTTTATAGGTTGCAGCTGTGTTCTGAGATTTACTACTTACTCAGCCTGTCCTAAATATCTGATTCTTTACTGTATCATCAGATAAGTTAGAGAACCATAAAAATGGTTATCTTCCCATTAATGTTAGTTTCAAAGTGTAAAAAACCTGCTTAGTATGAAGTGTGGCCTAATTTTTATTAAATATACTTTTATTTAACTCATCAGCTTTGGATTAGCTATATTTTCTTAACTTAGTCGTAACAGTATTTCTCTGTGTCTGTCTCTGTCTCTCTCTCTTTCTCTCTCTGATTTTCTTCATTTTGTTTTAAGTGCCTTGAAAGAAATGTCCTCAGGCTGGCATCTGTGGAGAAGTATAAAAGCTGGGATTATGCCTTTCCTGAGATGCTCTGCTTTGTTTTTCCATTATTTAAATGGAGTTCCAGCACCATCAGAAATTCAAGGTATTTTCTATATATTGCTAGGTGTACAGGGACAGTTTGGTAAATTCCTAGGAAACAATGCTTTTGCTAAAGAGAATAAAACCCATTAAAACTTCCTTTCTGTAGTAGCTTCAGTGGATACATTACTGATTCAGGACTGTATCTGCACAAAACTGCAAAATAACAAAAAAGGTTTTCTTAGTTTTTAAAAGTCACTTTAATTAAAAATAAGCAAAATCCAAACAATATTCCACTGTTGTATCTTCTTTTTTCAAAATAATATAGCACACAAAATTGATATTCTAGTGCTTAAAAGGAAGTAAAGGCTCATTGCTTGTTTGAAATCTCATCTTTATTACCTTCAGAATTCTTCTTCAAGATTTGCCCCTGCTCCCTTTTTTTTTTTAATTAAAACCCTTAATTGTGAAAGTGTTACACTATGCTTACAGTTGAATCTGTGTTAGCAACAACCCAGGTCAATTTCAGTTATGGTTCAGAAAAAATGGATAAGTCTGAAGGTGCTAGTCATAATCAAAAAGAAATAGTGCACACGAATATTATAATATAATATTATAAATTCCCTATATTTAAAACTGAATTATTTGATGTTTTAGTTTTGAACTAAAATTAGGGTTTTTTCAGATAGACTATTATCAAAAACTAGCTCTTACACTGTAACATTTCTGTATGACCATCTTACCATATGCCTCATCAGAAAATGCACCAAAGAGTAAATGATACTTTTAGTGGATGGTATGCAAGACGTTGAGTGGAAAAACACCATTCTTCCGATTTACTTAGCTGGGCTTCCCAATTTTTTCATAGTCTGGACCACATCTTATCACAGAGCTCATTTCATGAGTCATAACTGGTTCTAACTGGCAACCTTAATTTGCCCTGCCGTTGCTTGTGCTACATCTGTTTTGTAAGTAAATAAAGAATTTCAGTCTCCAGGTCTTTCAATCTGGCACCTCACTAACCTTAAATCCACACCACATCTTAGAGCTGTCAACGTTTTTCATTATAATTAAGGCCACTAGTATGTGTCAGCGCTAACTGAAGTCTCGGAATCTGACTTCCAGAGACCTTTGTGATATTGGGCCCTGGCAGCTGCCTAGCTGCTGCTGGCAGTGGGGAAGTCCCCACCTTCCCAACTCCTACCCCTGCAGAACAGCAAGGGATATTTTGGAGGTCTCACCCATCACAGGCAGTGGTTTCCCTTCCACTGCTTTCAGCCCTGCAGAGTACTGGGAGATCCCCAGTGTTACCCAGCTCCCAGTCCTGAGGGGCAGCAGGAGATAACCCCCTAGCTCCCAGCCGTTGAACGGAGTGCAGGGGGCTTCAGCTCTCTGCTGTTGCACACAGTGGAGCAAAGTGCTAAACACTTCTCTCTCTTCCCATTTTGCCAGGGATGATTTTGGTAAAAGTTAGGGACAAGTTACAGCTTCTGTGAATTTTTATTCATTACCTGTGACCTATACATGACTTTTACTAAAAAAATATCTGTGACAAAATGTTGTACTTAAAGAATTGCACAGGATACTTTTCACGGGATAAGGCAAAATGCCACACTTATTGGTTATTTATATACATTATCAGTACTGTATCAGATGCATATGATATACTGCACTCATGCACACACTTGCTGTTTAGTTACCAACTGGTTGCTCCCCTTAATTTCACTGGCCAGGTGAGTTAGGTGGGGGAGGGGAAGGAGCCGGGCTTCTGTCAATCCAGATCGTTGCTCCGATGTTGCAAGACGAGACCCAGGGTCCCATGCAAGACACCCAACACTTATAGAAGCTTTCACTCTCAGGTAAATGTCTGCACTTCAGCTGTATTGGTTCTTAATTAGATTTGTGGCACCGCCTTCTGAGTGTTATCTCCATTGATGCCACACTCAGCTCCAAATAGGGCATTTACTTTTAACTCCAATTCTGCTTCTAAAGAGGGTGCTTGCTTCTGACTCTCCAAGGTCATCCGTGTGTCTGGTCCTTACAATGAATCCACTTGACAGAGTCTTGATGTCCTTGGGTTTGGATCCTATTCTTCCCCATTCCAACTGTTTCAGATGTTAGTCTTTGGAGGTGCTTGCCTTTCACGCTTCATCCATTCACATCTAATTCATCAAGAAGAAAATCCTTTTAAGTCAAAGGGGAGAGATCTATTCAAGTACAAAGACATTTTCTTTTTAATTATTCCTAAGGGCTATAACATTATAAAGAGGCTTAATACAAAGTTTCTATATTATGAAGAGACTTAATACAAAGTTTAAAAAGACTTAAGACACATTATAAAATGACTAATATGAAGATTTATCTATAAAAACTCTATGCTTCATTATATTTCCTAATTAGCATTGTGTTTTATTTCCTGTTGATGATATCTTCCAAATAAAAGTGTTTTATTGTCTTTCTTTTTCTAAATTTACAGTCACAGGGGCAAGCCAGTTTGAACATATATGTAGCTATCTTTCCCTGCCAAACAACCTAATTTGCCTTTTTCAAGAAAACAGCAAAATTATGAACACTTTAGTAGAAAGGTATGAAACTTTTTTTCTTTAATTCCAACATAAAATATGCTACATCAGAAATTAGTACATTTTTCTAGTAATGCATGTATTCTGAGGTGGAAATTTGAATGTATTTTAAAAATTTCCTGTAATATGCAGCAATTTTTGGAAGAAGTCCTTTGGGACAGAAAGATTAAATAGATCTGTATTCTTTAACTTGTTAGTAGTTGTTCCTCTATAGTACTGTCTAATGAAGACTAAAAGGCCTCTTTTTTTTTTCTGTTGAAGCTGGTGTAGTAACAGTGAAGTAAAAAGGTACCTAGAAGGCAGGAGACAAGCCATAAGGTAAGTATGGAGGGATTTTAGAACGGGAGAGAAGATTTTTTTTTTTCTCCTATAACAAAATGTAAAAAATACAGCTTCAGAATGCAGTTCGGAAGCACATGTATATTGAAGCCGTGCTGTCCAACACGTTGGCCATTAGCCACATGTGGCTATTTGGCTGGTTGAGCGTGGCTAGTTTGCTCTAGCAATAGCCATTAGAATGGCTATTGCTTTAAAACTGGTCGGATACCATGGTATTAGAGGATGAATCAAGATATATTTATTTATAAGGAGAATGAAATGTTGCTTAAATTCAGAGATTTTTGTGAATACAGAATGGATCATTATAATCCTTTTCATTTAACTTCCTGCATAATGTTCAGGCCAACTTTTCATCAATAAGTTCCTGCATCAAGCCCACAACTACTGGTTCAACTAGAACAGTGCTTTTTAAACTTTTTAAGACCAAAGAACACCAAATATTTTTTTTTTTATGGGGAACACCAAGGATTTTTTTGCTGGGGGGGGAAGCCCCCAGGGAAAAGTTGGGGCAGGAGAAGGCTTGTCCCTTTAAGGGTGGCCATTTTGAATTCTGATCTCTCCATGGTACACCTCTGACCGCGGAATACACTTTAAGAAACACTGAACTAGAACATACCAGGTTTAAAGACGTGTAAACTTAGTTACAAAAACTCCAACTGATGTGCAAAATTGCATTTAAATTGTTTGCTCTCAGAAACAAAACTTTTTTTCTTTGAAATCGGACATTTGAAAACAAAGTTGTAATGTTATCAGTTTTAGAGAAGATTGTTTATTTACTCAGAATGGAGGCTAAATATTGGTATAGGTTGAACCTCTCTGATCCGGCAACATCTGAGGTCTGGCATGATTTTAATTAGTCAGCTGTCCATTTATCATGGATATGACCAAGTTTCCTGCGGTCCTATAATATTTGTTTACAGCCACCAATCCGGCGCTTGGTGTTCTGTGTTGTTACTTAGCTCTAAATTACCCCTAAATGACTTCTGAGAGCCCAGTAAGCAGTGGAAGTGTTGGTAATGTTGCTAGACAGTATTGACCTCTTGTGGTCCAGCAAATTCTCTGGTTTGCCACCGATCAGGTTGTAAGGGTGCTGGACTAGAGACATTCAACCTTTACTTCATTATTCAAGTAATTTAACACACACACAAACTCTATCATGAAAATATATTTTTATAATTAAACTTCGAAACTAAATGATATTAAATTAACTTGAATCTTAAACCTGTACAAAGGAATGCTGGATTAATACCGAGGTATGACAAAAATCAGTAAATTAAGTCAGTTGATTAAATGATAGACTATCAGTTTTAAAATTAAGATCATTTCAGGTCATTATAATATTCTAATTGGATAGTTGGAAGTTTTTTATTCATTTCATTTTTTTTTTAACATCCTTTACTATTCATGAACAGATAAGCAGGTTACAGATGATATAGTCGCTGGTAGTTCTCTTTATCATTCAGCACATTGCAGTGCACTGCTTCTTGTAAAACCTTGAACTTGGATGTCACAGCCTCATAGATTCTATCTTATTTCTGAAGATATGAACATTAAAACTTACATTGTGTAGAACGGTAGTTCTCAGCCTATTTACTGTGGCGTATATGCATATGCAGCTCTCTGTGTTGCATAGGCCAGGCCACATCCTCACAATACATATATATACTGCCTGTGTGGTTCTGGGGCAGTCACATGGGCCACAGCTCTGTGCTGATTGGGATGCAAGCAGGCCACAGGTTGAGATCCACTGGTGTAGAATCTGGAGGAATGGGGGGGAAAGGTCTTGACATTAACACTCATAAATTCCAAACTGCATAAATATGAGTTTGCAATGATTGTGTCCACTGTTTGTTAAACATTTGATGGTTTCCTTTTAGCTATGCAAGAGAATCTAACAAATTAATAGACCTTCCAGATGATTACAGCTGTCTCATTAATCAAGCATCTAATTTCTTGTAAGTTTTATGTAATTATGTTAATCTTTAAAAGCCATTTGTTGGTTTTGATGAATGGGAAAATCTTTCAGGAGAGTCTTGAAAAGGTTGTTTAGAAACATAACACATGAATGTAAGAATTTTCGGTCAAACCAAAGATTCATCTAGTCCAGTATGTTGTCTTCTGACAGTAGCCAATGTCAGATGGCCTGGGGGAGTGAACATAACAGGTAATTATCAAGTGATCCCTCTCCTGTCATCCATTTCCAGCCTCTGACAAACAGAGGCTAGGAACACCATTCCTACCCATCTTTGCTAATAAGTATTGATGGACCTATCCTCCCTGGATTTATCTAGTGGGTTTTTTTTTAACTCTGTTAAAGTCCTGGTCTTCACAGTATCCTCTGGCAAGGAGTTCCACAGGTTGACTGTGTACTGCATGAAGAAATACTTCCTTTTATTTGTTTTAAACTTAGCTATACTTTCATTTGATGACCCCCTAGTTCTTGTGTTTGGGAAAAAATAAATAACTTTTCCTTATTCACTTTCTCCATACCTGTCATGATTTTATAGACCTGTGTCGTATCCCCCCTTAGTCTCCACTTTTCTAAGCTGAAAAGTTCCAGTCTTTTTAATCTCTCAAAGTAAATGACACACCGGTTTACTATCAGAAGGGTAGCCGTGTTAGTCTGAATCTGCAAAAGTGGCGAGGAGTCCTGTGGCACCTTGTAGACGAACCAAAGTGTTGGAGCATAAGCTTTCGTGGGCAAAGACCCACTTCGTCAGATGCATGGGTCTTTGCCCACTGAGGAACCACCTGATCAGCATCACCAGCAGCGGCACCTCTGGTGGAGCGCGGGAGCCGGAGGTGCCACTGCTGGTGATACTGATCAGGTGGTTCCTCAGTGGGCAAAGACCCATGCATCTGACGAAGTGGGTCTTTGCCCACGAAAGCTTATGCTCCAACACTTCGGTTCGTCTATAAGGTGCCACAGGACTCCTCGCCACTTATACAGGTTTACTGTTATCTTTTTTCACTAAAGTGCTTTATCTTGATTACTTATTTCAATAAAGCATAAAGTAGAAGTTGGGGGGAAGGAGGAATCTGTAACTTCACTTAACAAGAAGTTTCCAGAATAAATTTGAATCTGTTCATTGCCATTTAAAGTACAGATTGAAACTCCATAATCTGGATTTCCTTGGTCCAGCATCCTCTGGTGATCCCGTGAGTGCTCTCACGGGATAAGTTATGGGGCTGGGGCCAGGACCATTGCGAAAGTAGGAGGCCGAGATGGAGTCCTGGGGGCAGCAAAGCCTCCGGGAGGAACAGAGCACAGCTGCTGGAGGGGAGCGCAGAGCCGCCCTCCACGCCGGTGATAGTGAGGGTGTGAGCAGGGAATAGTGCAGAGCTGTGGAGGAGCAGAGTGACTCCCTCCCGCTCCCCCTCCCCCTCAAGTGTTAATTATGTTTTAAAAAATGTTAAACTCCAGAAACTCCAGTGTTGCTGAGGGGAGTGCAGAGCCACAGGCAGCAGGGGGAGTGCGGAGCCCCCCAGTAGGAGCAGCCCATCCATATAGGTGAACTAGGCGGTTTCCTAGGGCGCCAAGTTAAATGGGGTGCCAACTGGTGGCGCAGTATCATTGAGGGGTTTGTAGGTGGGGGCGCTGATTGCATGGTTTGCCTAGGGTGCCAGTTGCTGGCAGCTAGTCTAGGGCCGCACCTGCCCCCCCAGGGGGGAATGCGGAGCCGCAGGCAGTAGCAGAGCTGCTGGGGAGAAAGCAGAGCTCTCAGAGGCCAGCGTAGCAGGAAGCCACCCAGGAGAGAGTGGTGCCTCCACCAGGGAGAGAGTAGAGCTCTAAACAGCAGCTGAGTCCCAGGCCACTGCGGGGAGAGCAGAGCCCTGGGCTGCAGCTTTGACCTTGCCTTGTCCAGCAAGTTCCCTGGTCCAGAATCAGTCAGGTCCTTAGGGTGCCAGACCAGGGAGGTACAACCTGTACTGAGCTATAACTTCATAGTAAAGTTGTAACTGTGTTCACTTACGTGTGTTGAATTGTTTTGGTTGCTTACATAAAGGTGTCCAAAATCAGGTGGTGATAAAAGCAGAGCACCAACATTGTGCCTTGTATGTGGGACCATGCTATGTTCTCAGAGTTATTGTTGTCAAACGGAGTTAGAAGGGGAAGATGTTGGCGCCTGTACTGCACATACATATTCATGTGGCTCTGGAGTGGGCATATTTCTCAGGTAAGGATTTTATTACATCCAAACTTTTTTAGTAGGGTACACAGATATATCCATAAATGTGACTGTTGTGCTGTATGTCAGGAGAGTTATGCTTATAGAAAAGAAGTTAATAGATGCACAAAAAATAGGATTTTTTTAATCTTCATTGCACTTAAGAATTTTTAAGAGCTTTTATTTTTGATGTAATAAAATCTGTTAGAAGGTCCATAGCTGATCAGATAAGGATTTCCCCATGTATTGTGTAACATTTCATTGCAAATAAATGAAATGATCATGGTAAACTTTTGTTTTTTGGAAATAATGAAAATAACTTTGGTATAAAGCATAGCTCTGAATTAATTTCACAGGAAAAAAACTGTTACATCTGCCATCAGTTAACACAACTCCTATTAGACATGTACAGTATAACCTCTTCAATGCACAATTTACATTTAGGTTTTTAAAAAATATTTGTTAATGGGAAGCAAAACTGATGTATTTTCTTGCAGTGTTCTTAAGTAGCTTACAAATTGATTAGTCCAAGCACACTGAAAATTACACTGTAACAGATAAAATGGAACAGAATCTTGTTAGAACTATTTTTAATATGTATATAATATGCACATGGCATAGGAAGGATACAAATATTTGCAGATGGTAGTTACATTTTTAAATTCCACAGTACGTGCACATTATACTGAATCACAGATACACGTGCAAGCTGCAAGTCCGCAGTACTTGGAAAAATACTAGAAATGTAGTCACATCATAAAATTAATGAGCAAAATCTCTCTCTCTCTCTCCCTCCCTCCCCAGAGTACGAGAATGCCAAGTGCTGTTTTTAGCTGGAAAAACCAAGGGCTGCTTTTATGCTCCTCCCTATCTTGATGACTATGGAGAGACAGACCAGGGACTCAGGTACATTTTTAAAAGAATGTTCTAAAATATTAATGGGAACACTTCTCTTTACCCTCAAAAGCAGTTGGTTCTTATAATAAGCTTAGTTATAAGTTAAATAATGTATAGCAAAGCTGCTAAAGTTGGGCAATAATGTAGTTGTGTATGGCATAATGTCTAAAACCTTTTTTAAAATACATTCTTTGTTGGAAACATCTGATGAGAAATAATTTGCCAGGGATAAAGAGGTTTCTTGAGGTTCTATAGACCATACTACTGGCAAATATATCCTATCTTTATGCACAGTTTGTGTATTATTATGTGTTTATCTGTATTAGATGAAAACCTTGACACAAATTGATTTAATGTAGAACTGCATGTTGGTTTTTAGGCTGAAATCTTTAATTTTAGAGGGAGGAGGTACCTAGGCCTTCAGTACTCTCACTAGCTTTATAGACAGCAGGGCCAGATCTTTGCAAATGGTTAGAATCATAAAGTGTAAGCTGGTGATGACATACAAAGATTGTTTAAAGCTCACTTTTACATAGCCCTGATCTTGGAGCGTCTTTGTACATGCTGATACCTCAGCCCTCAGGCAGTTTGTAACCTATACCAGACTTTAATAGTCACAGAGAACTAAAACAGATCAGAGATGGTGTGTTGTGAGGGTGCGCCCCCTTTCTGTAGCAGTGCCACCTTTTTGTTCATAATGCTGATAGGAGATGAGGTGAATAGTGTATCAGCCCATGTATTGTCTTGTACAAGGTCATTCTTGCCTGGGCAAGATAAATGAAGCTTGTGCTGTACCACTAAAGTGATATTTGTGACCATATAGTGACACCTGACTATTTACTCCTCTATTTCCACAGGCTTTAGAGTGGAAATACCACCCTAAGCAGTTTTTTTCCAGGTTTGCCATAATATATAGCTCGCCTAGAATACGATAGCTCAAATATAGTGGAGTTGAAACACGTGCCATAATTCTCACCTCAATTTCTTCTCCTTTTCCAGATTATTTTTTCTCCAGTATTCCTCCTAGTGTGGGGGAGCATAGGGCTTCAAGCTCAGACATAAGTATCTCTGCTCATCCTGAAGAGATGACCTGCATCTGCACAAATGTAAAGGGCCCTCATTTTTAATGATGCTCATTATGCAAGATGAAAATCTTGTCTATAGAGGGTCAGCTGAAATACTATAAGATCAAATTACTTTGGAATCAATTGTCAGTGCAGTTTTTGCAACTAAAATACTATACATACACTAACACTAAAAGATTATGTACGTGCTTTGTGTATTATCTGTGAGTACATAAGTGTTCTGTAAGATTTTACCATTGTTAGTTTTCTGATAAATGTTTTTGTTTTTTGTTTTTTTTCAGGCGTGGGAATCCCTTACACCTGTGTAAAGAACGGTTTAAAAAGATTCAAAAACTCTGGCAACAGCACAGTATCACAGAAGAAATTGGACATGCACAAGAAGCAAATCAAACACTAGTTGGCATTGATTGGCAGCATTTATAATTTGTTATAATCTGAAGACTGGAACTTTATTTATGATGATTTTTGTAACCTAGTAAGTTTTTTCCAAACAAAAGAGGGAGTTGAGAAAACTGAGGAAAATAAAGAGACAATTCCAGTCCTTCTATTTACTTTTTGTTTTCCAATTTGTTTTGAAAAGTTCCTGGTTACAATAACCATGTTAACTTTTTTTTCGATGTAAGCAGGTTTTACCAGTAGTATTATTTGCACTGTACTTCCTTCCCCTGAAACTTCTTGGGGATATAGAACTTGGGCAAATGAACTTAAGTTTTTGGTGCAAAAGAATGACTCCTCTTGGAAATCTGACTCTGATTATTTTCTAAATGAATTAACAAGAGGAAAAAAAACTGCTGAAATGGAGATTAGATTGAGCACAATTATGGATTGTGTTTTGCCCTTTGCTTGTAATCTGAGCCATTTCACTTTATTTATTACTCTGCGTTTTAACACTTAAACTATGTAAGTGAGATGGAATAAAGTAAGGATGATAATAATGTAGCAAATGGATGTATCTGTCTGCATCAATGGATAAACTTTGTGTATCTAAAATTATTTTGTAATTCATATTTTTATGATTTTTTTGCCTTCTATTTGATTTTCTTTTTGCTGAAAACTAACACTTGCTAACAAGTAAAACAATTTAATTTAAAGCTATAACTGGAGCATTGCACACCTTATGAATATTGTGTGGTTTGCAGTTTTAGTGCAACAGGGAAACCCTTTCATTTTCCATAATGTGATTGTTTTCCCAAATTTAAAGGGTTGATGTATTTCAGACGGTTTAAGGCAATGGAAATATATAGTCATATGAAAGGTGATTTTGTGTTAATTTGAAGAGGCCCATCTCTCAAGATGCAAATCCTACTTAAATCTTAATTGCAGTTTATTGATTCCAGGTTTCCAAATAGAAACCCTCAGACAAAAAATAAACCTTTTTTTCTGTGTATGAAGGACACAAGTCACAGAGCATTTATGTTTGCTACTGTTCATTTTCTTTCAGTTGTATCAAGTACATTTACTTTCTGACATAGCAAACACTTTACTAAAGCTCTGGAAAGATGTTTGTCTATAGTATATTTTATAAATATAATCTATACCTGCACAGATTTTGCACTTGGTGTGTGAGTGCCTGAAGGCAGTGAGTTTTCTAGTTAAATATAGTAAATGCCATGTTAGACTTCCCCTCCGCCCCCCACTAAATCTCTAAAAGACATGGTTTGTGATAGAAAATCCATAACCTTTAATGCCTTTCAAGTTTTGGTAAGTTACTAAAACAATTTATTTACATAGCTCTGATTTTTAAGAATCAAAGTGATTCTTTTACTAAGTCTTGCTTTCTTCTTCAGCCCAAACAAGCAGTACTTTCAATGGCTGCTGTCTTCATTTACAATAGGTTTGAATGGTTTGGTTTTTTACAGATGTAATGTTTCAGAATAATTTTGTATATGTTACAGTGTACAGGACAGTTCTCCACAGGCTTGGAAATAGTCTTGAGTTAAGATATAGACATAATACAAAATAGAGAAACTGAAAAATTATAAGTACTTATTTTTAAGGCTGCTATTAGATATGACACTCTAGTTTCTAATGGCCCTGATCTTCAAGTGTCTATCTCACTTTTTTATAGAAGAGTTGCAAAATCTGCAGGAAGAAAATCAGCATTAAAGTTTCATCAGTCTACTTTCCTCTCCTTAGTTATAGCATCAATTTCTTGTTGTGCAGGTCATATAAAAATTTTCTTCTGCAACACAATTTCTTTGACTGAAAGGCTTGCTGCTTCTGCTTTATTCCACATGTCCAGGAAACTTTTGTAGTTAAAATTGCATTGAAAATAGTTTTATCATGGATGTAGTTATTCCAGAAATAACAGTGTTGTCTGCCACAATTTGTTACATTGACAGATTTCCTGGGTAAATCAAAATATTGATAGAAGGCACTTTTCTCATTTTTCTGAGATGGAGAAGGATGAATGGATTCGTTGAATTATGGCTGCAAAACTAGCAAAGTACACAATTTATCCTATTTTTAGTGAGATTAGTCGTTCTTACTTAATCCATTTTCTTTTCTGATTTTTTTTTTTGCATGTATTTATGTTCACTGTAGAAATATTTATAAAACATGGTTTCAATATCAGGGAAAAAATACATGTAATAAATTGGCTATAACTTTAATATCTGTGGACTACTTGTAAAATTTGGAATGTATCATATGTAAAAAAATGAGAGTATCAAAATAAATGCTTTAGGTGTTGACATTAAATACTTTTAAAATTTTATTTTTAGAAAAAGTTGTTCTGAGCTTTGGAATTGTTAACTTTGATTACCTTGTTGCTCCATAGTGTTAATCACAGGATAAGGGAAATACCTAGATATGCAACACTTGCAATTCTCTGACTAAAAATTTAAGATGATTATAATATTAGTGTCAGTTACTTCAGTTAGCTAACTCTGTCTTGACCTCTACTGAAAAGTCTGATCATCATTTAGCAGAGTGATACATTTTTTTTAAAGAGCTAATGAGTAAACAATTGAAGCTCACTCAGAAGTAAATTAAACAGGAAAAACAAAACCTGCTATTTATTTTCACAAAAGGTAAGATATGTTGCCTTTTCTGTTGCAAACTACTATGCACATTAAAAAAAAATAGCATTCAGGTCTGCGATTCTTTTGTGCTTCATTCATAACTGTCCAGAGATCTGAGTCTCCTGTTCATGTCCGCTAATTACCTGGTTGCAGTTGTGCAGCTTCAAAATGTAAGTTGTAATCTGTTGTATAACATTTGTAATGAATGATTGTCTTATTTATGTTACAGCACACCTACTTAGTAAGTGAAACTTACTGAAGCCCCAAACCTGTAGTTATTCAGGGAAGATAACACTTCTTTCTACCATAGGAAACCCTCTTACTATGGTGTAAAAACCATATAGTACAAGTTGTTTGCTAAGACCATTGGTTCCCACAAGTCTGCTTTAACTACTGTGCTTTCTGTTGGTTGAGAATACCTGGTGCTAGCTCCATTGCAATTGTCTTCTGTATCCCCCTATATCTATCTATCTCTCTCTCACAGACACACACACGGTACAGCTAGACCAAGTTTTTGTTGGAAAAAGGTATGCAAAATGTGCTCCGCATTTTGCATACTGTTTTCCAATTGTTTTGTCGGAAGAGACTTTTCCGACATTTGGCCTGTCTAGACTGGGTCAAATGTCGGGGAAAAAACCCTCTTTCGGAAGCCCCCTTCTTAGCAAACATGTTTTTTCCCTGGATGTGGCAGAGTTTTTTACACCCCCCTTCCCAGTCTAGCCATAGCCTCACACACACTACTTATAGTCTTGTATGTCCATCAGAAGGCTCCCCATGCTACCTTCTGCATTGGTCAGTCAAGAACCTTTCTATAAACCAGCATGGGCAGGGAAGATGGATTTGGAGGATCTAATAGATCTGGAAATATAATACAGGTGGGCCTCTGTTTTTGTTTTATTTTTGATTTCCTGGCAATTTCAGTGTTCATAAATTGTAAAAAAATAAAAAAAAATTCTGAAAATAGGTGAAAACCAAGACTAGGGAAAGGTGGCAAGTTGTCTTCATGAGAGCTGAGGCTGTGGAGTAACTTGCAGTGTCGCAATTGAGGAACTCTTCTGCTCCCTACATCATAGGGCATCTTGGCTGCCAGGATCCTGCTTCCTGTCTTTCAGACTCAGCCTGCTGCATAGAGGAAATGAAAAGGTCTATGCTAAATGCCTGAAATCAGGTCAGGGAAAGAAAGCTAAACCCTGTAAGGATCCGCTCCCCTGCCCAAGGAAAGCATCCTGAGGTTGGCCCTATCTGCTTCCCCTGCACAGGCCCTGTCCAGTAGGGGAAGCAGATGGGTCTGTCCTCTGGGGCTATGCTGAATGGCTGGGAAGAGGAGGTAGCTCTCTTTGGCATGACTTCAGTACTTATGGGATGCAGCTTTCTACTCTCTGCAGGCCTGTCACTGCAATGGTTAGGTAGTCTTTGTGGGTAGGACCTGGCTCCCTGCCTGTCTCCAAAAATTCTCAGATACAGAAAAAGCCAGTTTGTGTGAAGATTGGTAAAAATCCAAATACAGATTTTGAAAGTCCAGGTTTTACTTAATCTTTTTTTGTGTGTGAACGACTTCAGTAATTTTTTTCTAACTAAAATAAGATCAGACTCCATGGAGAGTGGTCTATTATAGTTCATTTGATGATGACAATATAAATGGATCCCAAACAATCCCAAATTAAACCTAGAGTGGCATAACTTCACTGAAAAGGCAAAGAAAGTATGCAGGAGATGTGTAACTCCATTCTTATCTCAGTCCTTGGTTTATTTGGACAATTGTAGATGCTATTTGAGTTATTGCAAAGCAAATTAGGCATATAGCTGCACTCACATTTTACCACTAATGTGCCACTAGGATAAATTGGACATTTCACACCCCTTAAGAACAGTTTTTTTTTTTTGGTCTACAGAGCTACATTAACTTCTGTATAAAAGGTTGCTTTTGCAACTAGAGGGACTTAAATCTTTTTTATGAATGTGTCTAGGGGCCAGATAAATATATTAAATGAGCTAGATCTAGTGTTTGTGCAGGGAGTTTAACATACCTTTACCTAGGATATGCTTGAGAGAAATAATGGTTCATTTAACATAACTGTTCACTTCTATTTCATTGGTAGGTTGTCTCATTCTGATGCTATTTTTGTATCTCTTACTTATAGAAATATGCTTCATTTTTCTTCTGTTTCAATGTGAGATCTTACCATGACAGTCAGTTTATGAAAGATCTCTCATATTTGACGTTTTCTATAACACTGAAGCAAAATGTGTTTTGTAGGGATGATAAATTATGTTAATTTTTGTAGCCACTGAAATTGTCAGCGGTTATACGTTTACACACGGAGCAGGGGCAAGTAGGAGCCAGTGCTCATGCCTGTTCTCCTCCCCCATGCTGCTGTCTCTGATACAGAAGCAGCAGTGGGGTTGGGGCAGGTAGCTCCATGGGAGCAGGTGCTTCTTCTGTGGGAGGCAGCAGGAGGATGGGGAGGAAGCTCTGTAGGAACTGGCATGTGCCTGTGCCCCCCACTGCCTCTGATATAGAGATGGGACGGGTGCTTGTAACTGAGGATTAACTAATGAGCCCAAGCTTATTGGTTAATCGTGTACATGGGAGCAGTTAACATCCATAGTGTTTTGATGTCATCCTTTCCTATATTCTGCTGATTAAATTTGTTCTAAGTTTCAGGTGTGCCTCCTGTCTCCTGACTTCTGTTTCTAGTTGGTCAGTCATTGATTCTGTTTTGGGAGGAGGGGATAACCTGGTACTCTTTTTCTAATGTGTTGAGATTCAATACTATCAGGAGGGGCTGGAAAGTCTAATCAGATGATCCACTGCAGATCTGCCACATAGTTGTTTTATGCTGACTTTTTGTAGTGCATTTAATTTTAATGCTAGCTTTTTCTGGAAGTCTGGGTTTTTTTCCTGCATCACCAATCAGAATAGCTGTTCACAAATAGTACACTGACATTCTAGTGTTCTAACATCCATAAAACAATTTAATTACGATTACTCTGGGGAACCATTTCTGGTGGTTTAAGTACAGAATTGGGTGTGTTCAAATTTGGGTTCTATTCCTAGGTTTGTGAGCTTACCTACCTTAAGTACACTGAGTCCTAGTTCATCAATGTTTGTAAAGTACTGTGGGATCCTCAAATAAATGTGTCAGTCACTGAACAGAATGGACATGAAGTCTTGTAAAAGATTGCTACAAGTATGACTAGTTTCAGTTTAACTGGAAATAAAGAGCTCTGTATTTCCTCACTGTTTATTTACCAGAAATAACTTTGTCTAGGCATTCATCTCTCAGTGGGGGACCGTTATCACATGACTCTTCCCTTCCTCTAGCCTTATCTCTTAATTAACTAATCCCTAATGCTCTTTTTTTTTTTTTTTTTTTTTTTTTTTTTTTAAATAACCATGTGCTCTGTCCTCATTTTACATTGACTCAGTTAAGGGCAAAATTCATTTAAAATTCTGGTACAAATTCAGTAGAATGTTGCTGGAATGCCTCTTTCTTTACTCCATCCGTAGGAATTGTCTTGAACAATTGCAGTTATTCTGGGAAACCTAATATAACCTTGCTATACTACTTGCTAAGCCGCATGCACACAGTGAAGAGAGTATTTGTTCAGTATTATAAGGTGTCCAGGATAGTGTAATGCACAAAGGCTAATCTTATAAATTGTATTAAGGTTACTTAAGAACTATTTGCTCTGAGGAAGCTGTTTATATTTTCCTCACTAGAACAGTTTATCAAATAAATGTTCTATGTCTGGTCAAATAAATGTAATTGATAAAATAGCCTTCTTTGCAGTGCAAATTATGTTTTAACTCTGAAAACCTGTTGATTAAATATTTAAAATTCAAAATCTTAAGCCAATTTTAGAACCTGGGTGCCTGAAGTTTGGCTTCTAAATTCACTCTTAGGTACCTTAAAATGAAGCAATATGGTTAGTATTGGTTCTGGTAAACCCATCTCCTAATGAAGTCAATATGAACCTTTTGGAAATCAGGACTCTTCTATTTAGATGCCTAACTTCAATCACTGAGGCTTGAAATCTTTGGCCTTTAATTTAAAATAATAAGTGATTATTTTTTAATGCAGTGACTTTCTGGGTCTGATTTTTTTTCTGAAAGTCTGAAGTTGAATTGTAAAACCCAGTCAGATTGATTTTTCAGAGATCCTCAGCCTCTGCAGCTCTCCTAACTTCAGCTGAAGTTGTATTTTTCGTCACTTCTGAAAACCAGACCCAGGGAAATGATACTGCTATTGAGGTTAGTGGGAAGTGCTGGATTTCAATACTTTTTAAACTCACACCATTTACTTAAGTGCCTAAATACAGACTAAAGAGTTTACCTTGAGATGTTATGTTGGAAAGTCTTGACCTTAATTCTTCTTGAATTCCCTGTGGAGCAGCATGTACATTAAGTATTCAGTCTTGCATGTGCAAAACTCACATGTCAGTAGAAAGTCTTATGTGCACAAGGAACTCAAGAAGAGGCCTTAAGTGAGTCCAAGACATTGTGTTACCAAGAAGAAGTGGGAGAGTTGGGAGTGTGTTTGCACTTCTTTAGCCTATCCAGAAGCTCAAAATGTAGAGCATGTGGTTTCACTCACAAAATTGTTCACAAAAAAGGAAGGCTTCCAATTAAGAAAATCTATAAAATTGGGCATTTGTATACAAACAGAAGACTTAATTTAGAACATAAAAAATCAATGTGGTGCAAATTAAGGAAAAACTCTGTTCAACTGCATATAATTTAACATTTTCATTTAACAAGTGTTTCTTGCAATATATTTTAATATCTACATTTACATTTGCAAGCAGCATAGATATAGCTCTATAGAACAGCATTTACAATATCACAGATTCTCTGATTTCTGACTGAGATTGGACAAATATATTACAAGTTATATAATAGAAGTCAGTCATCATGCAATCAAATAATTGTAAGATATTACAGACCTATTCTTTAAGTGGGGGAAATGTTATATTATCCAATGTTAGCATAATTAGTATTTGATTTTGTTTGTATGACTCCCAGTTTCAGTAACTAATAAAGCCTACCCTCTGTGTCCTGACACAAATCTGTTTCCTACATATAGTCTGTCTGTCCCTTTAATACTGCTCTGGGATCAGCTTTGTGATGCTGGTGGTAGAAGTAGAAGTGGATAATTGTGTTGTGTGTCTAAACCAATATATTGAACAAACTGTAAACCAGGAAATGAGAGTGAGCACAAAGAACTATCACAAAATGAGAGATTTTTGTCGTGAAATTCTTTATCTGGGTCACCTTTTGCAAAGCTTTCTTACCAAGACATAAACATAAACATGACAAACTCCAATCAAGAACTTGTCCTCTTCCATGGACCAACTGAGATGAGCACCAGGCCATATACATTTCTGAGGAAAAAGACCGTTTAACTTTGGGCTATGCAGTTTTCCTCAGCAAAGGATGAACTGAAGCAAAGAATGAAGTAAATTAATTTACTAATCTCAATTTATTTGTTGATATTCTTGTGCTATTTCTTTTTGGTGGTGTAAAAGATGGTTTGATTTTTCTCACAGTTACTTTAGATCTACATTGGGAAGTCAGAAAGGAACAATAAGAAAAAAGCTCACATGCAAATGTCTTGTAGGCTACATCTACACTGGCCCCTTTTCCGGAAGGGGCATGTAAATTTCAGCAGTCGTCGTAGGGAAATCTGCGGGGGATTTAAATATCCCCCGCGGCATTTAAATAAAAATGTCCGCCGCTTTTTTCCGGCTTTTAAAAAAGCCGGAAAAGAGCGTCTAGACTGGCCCCGATCCTCCGGAAAAAGTGCCCTTTTCCGGAGGCTCTTATTCCTACTTCAAAATAGGAATAAGAGCCTCCGGAAAAGGGCACTTTTTCCGGAGGATCAGGGCCAGTCTAGACGCTCTTTTCCGGCTTTTTTAAAAGCAGGAAAAAAGCGGCGGACATTTTTATTTAAATGCCGCGGGGGATATTTAAATCCCCCGCGGATTTCCCTACGACGACTGCTGAAATTTACATGCCCCTTCCGGAAAAGGGGCCAGTGTAGATGTAGCCGTAATGTCCTGAACACTAAAATATAGAATATGGCGTGACATAATGGACATTCAAATCTGGCAAGTTAACTGATTCCATCCACCAAAAGAGGGAGCAGTTCACTAGTTAAAATAACTGTGTCACTAGAATGCTGCTGAGGAAAGCTATTTAGGAAACATACAACTGATAAGAAATAGTGCTATTTAGCTGTAAACTGATTAGGCAGCTGTAGACAAAGTATCTGAAGACCAGCAACCAACTAGATTAGTAAAATGTGGTTGAAAGAAATTACCCTCAAAAAAGTAAAACATTTTCAGAGAAGTTTAAAAAGTTCAGTGCCTGCCTCTTGCTGATGTTTAAAGGTCTAGAAAACATGACCTATGAAGGAAGATTGAAAGAATTGGGATTGTTTATTCTGGAGAAGGGAAAACTGAGAGGAGACATAACAGCTTTCAAGTACCTAAAAGGTTGTTACAAGGAGGAGAGAGAAAAAATATATTCTCCTCTAAACTCTGATGATAGGTCAGGAAGCGCTGGACTTAAACTATATCAAGGATAGTTTAGGAATAAATTGCCTAGGGAGGTTGTGGAATCTGTTAGAGATTAAGAGTAGGTTAGATAAACACCTGTCAAGGATGGACTAGATAGTGATTGGTCCTGCCAAGAGTGCAGGAGACTGGACTTGACCTCTCAGGCTTCCTTCCAATTCTATGATTCTATGATCCTTTATAACTGTAGCTATACTACAATGTGAGTTAGACTAGGTTTTGCCATCTGCAGTTTGACTGTTTGGCTGGGCTTGCCGGGCAGCAGTGCAAGCAAATACCCCAGCTTATCCCTTTACAAGGGCCCAGACACGACAGCAAATTCATTCCATGTTTTATTCTAACTTCTTAGAGCATTGATGTTTTTCTGGCTAGCACCATATTTTGAGTGGTATACAGTGCGTTCAAAATGCAACTAGAAGTAAGTCGCTGACAAAGAATAAAATGACAACCTAAATGTTCTCTCTCTTAGCACCTTTTGTGGTGTGGTAAGGGCAAATAGAAGGACCATAATCTGGCAAATTACATTTTCCTAAGATTGGATTAGTTTCATCTTTTTCCAAGGGTCTTAGTACAGATTTAATGCCTCCCTCCCCCCAATTGTCAGCAAAGAGAATGGATTTGTAAATAACTTGGAAAGCTCCTCTAATGCTTCAAGTGTTAATTTCCAAAGTGCCATTTTTGTTATGCATTAGTTGCCATGAATTCTTAAGAGAAAGATTTAGGTTTTATATTGTTAAATATATGTACAGAATAATCATAATTGGCATACGATGGCATAATTTCACCCATTCAGTGAGGAGTCCTCAGGCCTCTGCTAGTTTAAATAAAAAAATCAATACAATGTTTACCATACCCATTCAGGATATATGGCTGAAAATATAAGAAACCGCAAGCGTAAATTATTTTCATCTCAATTGCAATGTTCTATTTAATTACTATTTTTACACAGAGCATAAATTCTCAGTACAATTTTGTCTTCTGATCTGTTTTCCATCTTGGAACATGAAAGAAAATACCATCTCTTAACATATTAACAAATATCATGTTGCCTCAAAGACTGTGATAACAGGTAACCTAAAAGTGATATACATTTCTGAAAATCATTCCTTTATGTTTGTTTATAAAGATTTTACTTGACAGATCCCCAACCCATTTGCCCTTGAACTTTAAACATTGTGGTATGTTGCTCAAATTTATAAATTTGAGTAAAAAACGATTAACTTTTCAAATTGTCTTTTTTTCCAATGATCCAAATATACAGAAAGAACCAAAAAGCTTGCCAGCCAATTAAAAAAAAAAACTTCTGAAGTTTTATTAACTGTCGTGTAGACATAATAGTCTCTAACAATTGAGTATGGAGCCTTAAAACCCTAATTTTGGACATTTCCCATAGAAGTTATGGAGACAGTGGATACTCACTAGGAAGATACGTGTTTTTGCACTATATAGCATACCCCACATATAAAAAAGTTTGTAGAAATGTATACTTTTAATGGTTTATACAGTTTTCTAAAGAATGTATTCACAATTCTCAGTTTTTCATTTCTCTTTGATAAAGTCCACATCAGTCAAGAAGCTCAACTGACAGTTGAGATAGCTGGTGTCTTTCCACCTTCCTCACCTTCAGCTCCTTCAGCGCCTGCATCCACCTGATTGAACTTACCAATCTTTTTCAAACTTTCTAGTGTAGATTTGAAAGTGTCTTTCAGGCTCTGCTCCAGGAGCCACCCCTCGCTTTCACATTCAGGATCTTCAGGATTTGTGATGCTTTCCAGAGAAGTGTGCAAAAGACGCAAACCAACCATCACAGACACCTGTGTGGGATGCATTGAAAAAGGGCAATGAAATGCAGTAATCCCCTTCTACCAACACGTGCTGAATAGTTTCATCCTCTAGCAACATGGAAGACATACTTAGCCTCTTGAGCCCTGCTGGTGGCATACGAGACTGCAGGGCTAGCATTCCGCTTTCTCTACCTGCGTATCAGGTAATGCCAGTGCAGGGTCAGACACAGGAACGCCGCCTGACAGACTAATGGGCTAGAGGCAGGAGGCTGGATGGTGTAGCAAGGAGTAGGAAGAATAAAGACCCAAGGAGCAAGGAGAGAGAATGAGGAAGTAGAAGCAATGCATGGAATCAGGAGGAATCACAAAACAACCACAATGTCATGTCCTCCCAACCATGATTTTGATAGTTGGCTCACAGATGGTGGTTACAGGGAATCTTATGGAGGGAATAACCACAAAGTCATGAAGCAGATATTGCAACATATTAGGCTTCACACTGATACATTTTTGTATATCTCTGACAGCTTGTTGTGAAAGTGACTTTCCATTTCTCCAGACACCACTGATCTGTAGAGGAGAGCATTTCCAAAAGCATTTGAATGGCAAGTTCTGTGTGTCTGCACTTGACCTTAATAAAACGTTTGAGAGAAATGTCAGCTTGAATACCTTTGGTCTATTTTAACCACACAAATCCTCATTTTCATATTTGGCAAATACATTAATATGATCCAGAAAATCATGAATAAAAAATCTGGTCATAATATCCAGGACCCTGGTGGGTTTAGTATGTGGACCATCAGCTACTTCATTTGTATTTCTGTTTTCTTTTTATACTTAACTAGAGGACTGCACTCCCTGTTTGCTATGCTAACCCCCTGTCTGGGGATAGGCAGCCCCAGCTCTTCCCCGGTCACCGGAGAGGGCCAGCCTGAGGTGTGGCAACTGTGGTGAGGTGTGGCAACCTGTCTGGGGATAGGCAGCCCCAACACTCTCCCTTTGGCTGCTGAGGGGTTGGACTAGACTGCAGCTGGCCCGGCTCTCTCCCTTCGGCCACTGTGGGGGATTGGGCCGGGCCAAGGCTCTTCTCTCCTCATGCTGTGGCTACCAGGGAGGGTCTGAGGCTACCCCGGTCCTGGCTCTTCCCTCCCCCACCCCTGAGGCCTCCCCAGCTCTTGTCCCCTGGGCTTCCTCCTGCCCCAACCACTCCCCCAGCCCTGTCTCTCCCCCAACCCTGGCCACCGGAAAGAGGGGCCAGGGTAAGTTTGCATGCTCTATTCCTGGTGGCCAGGAGGAGGAGGAACCACTCCGAGGCACTCTTCCTAGCTGCTGGTGTGGGGAGGCTGTGGCACGGCAGCTGAACACTGTGGAAAGGGGAGGCAGGCAGAATGCAAAGTGATGTCATGATGTCACTCTATCATTCCACAGGCAAAGTTTTTAATACATATAGAAAGAAAAGACAAAGGCAAGCCCAGAATATCTGTGTCTGCTTAAATCTGGGGGAAAAAAGTATCTGTGTAAAATAGTTATCAGTCCTAGAAGCCTGCATCATACATTTCTGTGGCACCACTGACCCCTCCGGAACAAGCCATTTGGCTTTGAATCTGCCTTCAGCCAATACATTGGCTTTACAGGAACTGTTTGTTTGTAGGAGTTCTTCTGTCTCCCAACCTTGTTCTGACCCACTCAGCTTCCTGCTCTGCTCTTTTTATGAAGACCATGGAGCTGTGTCTGAGAGGAAGGAAGCACTGCCTCTAGATGAGCCAACTTTGTGGCATAATAGCAGACCAGGTGAGCTAAAAACAGGAAATGAATTAATTCAGATGTTAGATAGAAACAAGAACTAGTCCACTTCTTATTAATCTGGTGGTATTTGTTCTATATGAGGATTACCCCATCCAAATTCCAATCAAAGTAACTGCACTGGTTTCCTAAATTCTTATCTTAAACAGTTGTTTTGTGCTCACTGCTTACAGTAACACGTTTCATCCAAATGGACATATTTTAGTGAAGGGATTGCTCTTTGCAGCACAGAGAGGGAATTACTCTCTACAGCTCAGTTGTGACTCACTTGATTTTGGTAAGATACTTTGAGTTTTTATGATGAAAAGAGTTGAGACTTTGACTAGCAGTAGGGGCAAGTCATGAAACTTCAAATGTATGTGACGGGGGTAAGGCAGATCTGTGATTTGGTTCAGTCTCTTAGGATGAGTTGCAAAGTTCAGATCCTAATTTTGGACAGCACTAAAGATTGGGGTGCTAAGATCTGGAGTGTCTGTAAGACTACGTCTGATTTTAAGCCTTCCTAACACCAGGGTTATATTTGAACACTGTCTCCAAATATCTGGTTAAATAAGACTATTTTTGGTTAGCCCTCAATTCACCCTATAAATGCTGCAACAATTTATCCCCTCTTATTCAAGTACAGAAAGGGGTAAAAATCTAACACACAGACTTCCCTCACTACTCCGTGTATCTCCATCTTTGTAGGCAGCTGGAAAGAAGGCTGGCTATCTACTATAGAGGGCCTTTCATCTCCTTTTTAGAATGGAACCATACAACAAAGAGGATATGGGAAATGGTTGAATCAGAGAAACCGAAAGAGCCAGGATCCAAGTAGTGCAGTTCCCGCCCAGTATCTTGCTGGCATTGGACAACCACAGGCCTGGGAGAAAGATACTCATTTTCTCTGTGTTTAGTATGTTGGACCTCCACTTCCAGAGCCTGTATGGGTAAGACTTGTTTGCAGTTCCTCCTCAAGGAAGCTCTTGAGGCAAGGCCCTCTGGATCTGATCAGTTCCCAGATGAGATGAGTCTCCACACTTGCAGCTTTCAGCAGCTCCAAGTGATTGAAGGCTTTCAAGTAGCAGCAGGGCCTGTTTGGGTGGGATTTGGTTCCAGTGATGCTCTCAGTCCTGTGCCTGAGGCTATCATGTCTGTATCAAAAGCCCTAGGGTTGGTTTGACTGCCTCAGTTCTGGAACTGAGGACCAGAGGAGGTTCAGCCACCTTCACCAGAGCTGGGCCTCACTGGTCTTTGGTTATGACAGAATCCCTGTGGCCACAAGACCCAGGGTCAGTTTGTTCTTCCACTTCTGGATCCAAGATGAGTTAGACTGGTGTGTCAGAGCCAGGGCTACTAGCACCTTTAGATCTAGTTGTTAGGCTTCCAAAGAGAATGAGATATAAGGACAAAGCTGCTGTTGGCAGTGCTGGCTCTCCTGCATCCGTTATCAGAGCCCTACGATTCTGACAAGCAGTCACGATTCCACATACAGCTGCAGTAGAAAATTAGATGGGTTTTGTGTCACGTCCAAGCCATTGTCATCCAATTCTTCAGACCTGTTAGCTGGTCCTGCTCCAGTTCCTGTGCTGGTTCTGGCCTCAGGCTTGACTTTGCAAAGCTTTTCCACTGTTGCAGCTCCCGTTCATCCTACAGCTCTGATTCATGCATCAGATCCAAGCAGGAAATGCAAGCTTTCTAAAAGGAAGCATGTTTGCCTGGTTCCAAGGTCATCTCCCTCCTCTCCTGTTACAAAGAACAGGCCTGAAAGAGTCATATGCCTGTCCCCAGAATATCCTATCCTTTCTCCCCTTGCTATTCCTACGAGGTCCCCACAATGTTGGATCTCTAGCATGCCTTTGGCTCCACTGTATCCTTAGTGTACTCTATCTCAGAGCCAGAGCAGGATCCTTACCAGGAGAAAAATAGGAGCAGAATGCAGAGCCATTTGGCTTGTTTTGCACCGCTCTCAACTGCCTCCTATAAGCATGTTCCCCCTACCTTAATTGTTGGGGAGACTGGCAGTTCTGAAGCCAGTGATCCTATTCAGGGCCATCTCAGGGATTTTTTTGGGGTTATCTTCCGTGTGGAGGGAGAGGCGATGCTTCATCTGTAAAGGATCCAGCAGTTTAGACAGCCTCGGATCTGATGCCTCCTGATCTGTTGACATTACATAGTGGTCCCTGAAAGTAATCCTCTCTTCTGAGGAAAACAAACTTCTCAGCTGGTGTTTGATATCTTTGGTCTACTTCAAGGAGCAGAATATCCCTACTCATTTTGGATGGTTTGCTACAGCTGGCTAAATCCATGTGCACTATGCCTGCTCCTTGTCAACCTGTTTCTAAGAAAGCTCACAAGCTGTCAGATGCCCTCTGGAGGCTTTTCCTGCTTTCAATATGCACCCACATTCATTGGTGGTGGGCTACTGCCAAAAACATGAAAAATCTGGACAACCACACTCCATTCCAGCTATCAAGGAGGGGTAAAGATTGATCAGTTAGAGTAAATGTGTTCTTTTCATTGCCCTTTGGTATTACAAAGTGAATTCTCAGGTGGTTGTGGCTTGCTAACAATTCCATTAACAGGAGAATATCACATTGTTTGTACAAGACTTAACTGATGACACAAGAAGGCCAGCAAATGCAATTTTAATGTAGGACTAAAAATGCATTCCTTTGTGGCATCTTTTAATGCTTTGGACTCTGTTGCCAGGGCATTGGCGTCTGCTGTGACCATAAGGAGGCGTGTGGCTTTCTTCATCCTCCCTAGATCTAGATACTAAGTGTAAGTTGGAGGAATTTTTCTTTGTAAAAGCAGGATCTTTTTAGTGATGAAAATACAGAAGACAGGTTGGAAAAACTAATGAGTATGAGAGAGACTGTCCACTTTCTAGCTTGAATCCCTCTGTCTGAAAGAGGCCTTCTACTTCTTTCTTGTACCAAGACCGTATTCCCCAGGCTTCCTCTTACTTTTCATCCAATCAGAGATGTCAACAATACCAGCAGCCTTCTGCCTTCGAGTCAACACTGAAAAAGCTTTTTTTCAAGTCAAAACAGCCAGCTTCCTTTGTTAGTATTTTTGTGGCAGAACAACAAGCCTCCGTTTTGATTAGATGATCAGGAGTAAAGGCACAGCAAATCAAGACCCTTTTTCTGGGGACAGACTGGCTCATGTTATCAGTGCATCAAGGCAAGTTACGTAGATTTATGGGCACTAGAGATTATAGCCATATATTTTGAAAAACTGCC